AATTTTACGTTAAAAAACTACTTCTCTTGAAATTTCATTTTCTCACTATTCTTATCATTGCCATCACTTTCATAGGTAAGTTGAGGTTAGTCACGATTGAGGAGAGTCACGTAATTAAGATGAGGTTAGTCACTAATGAGGTCACTTCGCACCTCGACGCGGACAATGTCATTCGAGACTAAGGTCGCACACCCGAGGAAACGATGAAGCGATGCACGTTCCCCTTAGGTGAGCTAGCAATCTCCTGCATTTTTGGCCCTACATTTTTGTTGAAGTCGAAAATGGAGTGGCATCTCTACTTACGATAGTACTGGTTGACCTTCCTTTCTTTTGAAGGGTCACCCATGATCACGGTCGACTCTCAAACGGACTGATTTAATAGTCCTATCCTCAGACAGAAACACTAGCCTTTCTGTCGCTTCCGGTTTTGACTTTGATCGATTCTGCTTACCTATATCCCATCTGTACGGATATGATTAGAATCACAAGAAAATTTTACCAAGCTCTTCCGTCTCATGCATGCAAACCATCGAGTTCCATTGATTAGGCCTTTATCGTCTGAAAAATATCGGAGTCCCGTATGAGTAGCTGTGCATATTGTAAGAAAGCCTTCTTGCCCAAGGAATCAATGGGGAATGGTATAAAATTAATGACTTATTTCTGCCTCCGAGTATTCTGAATTTTGGCGCCCATAATTTTGGGACCCTGTACAAGGAGCACGATATGGTGTAAGCTTCCAGCGGTATACGCTGTCGTCGATGGATTACCTTCTGCATTCTTCGATGCAGCAGAAATTGAAGCTCCTGCACCAGCTACCTGCATTACCTGCAGAAGACTCACGATATTTCGATGAAGCACACCATCAAAGAGAATCGCGACTTGTATTTCTCACATCGATGCCAGAATTATGCAGACCCGTGCCTATGACAGCTCAGTCACCCAAGCTCAATCTGTGCTTGAGATAAATGAAACCATCTCACGGAAGACTGTAAGATGGCTTGCGCTAGTTATGGCCTCGGTCATTGCCAGCTGTTATACCGTGAGGGATGCCCTCAAGTAAAGGGGCCTAGTCACTAGCCGTCTTTGTCATCCACCTAACTGGTAAGTGTAGTCCAGCATACTGTCTACACATTTATCAAGCCCTAACTGCACAATTAAGCATTCGATACGAAGCCGCTTCCAGCAAGCTGTCTACATATGCCAAGGAGCCACCTCAACATTGAGCTCACTCAATCTTCCCACAAGCAGATTAGATGGCCAAAAATAAATACACGTCATGTACATTCTCGTGGCCCGCAAGTTGTGTCGTGGTCGACGACTGCTGCTCTTCTCCATGCGCTCAGCCACTATTATGAAGTGAGGTACCTCTCAATACGAGCCGTGTTGGAAACGGCCGCGCACTATCCTTACAACAAATAACTCCACTAATAATCGTCTCAAGCGTTACCACACTGTTGTTCCCCAGCGCCCACCCTAGTTAGGCTTCGGGATGGCGTTAAATGCGTTCAACCCCTTATTGTCGAAGACCTCCTGAACCAAAATACTTCCCAATCACATAAACAACTTCCAATAGCATGCCAGTAACTCTTAAAGCACTCAAAATGAAATCATAGGGTTACTTCGATTAAAAAACACTTACTAGAAAAGATAATTTTTAGGGAACTGAACTCGTTTTCAAAGGTACGAGATGGTATTCACGCATACCCAATCACTAAGAAAGAATAAAGGCACTGACTTGGTTAAAAACTCTCGATGTCGCGCACAGTTACTGATGAAGCCAATAACATGAATGATTAAGACATCTGCTTCATATTCCTCCACTGTACCCTTTCTGCTACTAAACAGAAGCATTGTCGAGTCTAAACGCAACAAAAATTAAATGGCATCCATGTTTTTCAGGTTGCTTAGATGAAATCATATAGTCAAACTAATACCAACCACCGAGAACTGTGGCGTTGCATGCGTTCAGTATTCTAACTGACATTTCCAATAATCTGCCAAAGTACGGCAACGATAAAGTGTTGAACGAATCGTAGAAACTGGAACAAAGGAAAAAGGGGGTTATGCAAACAAAAATTGCAGACGAACGCCAAGTTTCTATATATTAAGAAATAACCTGTTGGCAAACGAGTAAACCGTGATAAGGCGACTGCGCTCACTATCGGTTGCCGAAGGTTTCAGTCCTTCTTCAGCCCACTCTACTAAACCATTGACCACTGAGCGAAGAGTGTTCTCAGTCAAAACCTCAGCCATAGCCATGATAGACTTAAACACACTGCGCTCAACGTTGATAATACTTTCCGAACTCTGAAAAAGAAAACAACTGTAAATAGTAGGAGGTGATGAGAATTGGTGTCACCATTACCGTAACAATTCTTTCAGCACCACGAAATTCTAGTCCTTTGAGAAAAACATCCTTCAACAAGGTGTCTCTGATGTAAGTAATTGCTGCACGATTCTTTTGTTCAAAATAGTTCGCAAGCAGTGAAAACAAGCAGATCAAAGACTTCTATAAAAAAAACATTAATGCATGCATAGCTAGCAGTATGGACAGAAAACGAAACGAATGAACTTCTTCATGTCGGAGATCAATAACAGCCCTAGCGAAATACTTTGGTATGATGCGAAGTTCCAGTTTCAGAAGAGAAGAACGAATAAACCCAAGCCTGAATTTCATACTTCTGGCAACAAAAATCAAGCACGTCAAGTATACCAGATTACCTTTGCGCTACGCTGTTTTTCGTGGTTTGTGTAGTTTGGGATTTTTCTAAAACTGGAGCACCAGTGCAAGCAATGTCCTCCGCGGAATCGTCGAGTCTTAAAAGACGTAAGTCTCAGGAGATACAACTGTACCAATAAGAGTTAAAATCTACCTTCCACTTAAACGACAGTAATTCACGAGAATTTCCGGAAGAAATTGAGATACAAATGGAGCAAACTGGTCCATTATCCGCTGAACACAAGTCAGGACAGATACCTGCAAGCCCGATATGACTAATGTATGACCAAGCACAACGAGTACACAACTAAAGCTACCAGTAATGGTTGACCACCGCTTTTTCTTTTACTGAACGACTGTAGGCGGGTACGTGCACGTTTCACGGAAATATTTTCAGTCTGGATCTGCTTCCGGTCGAGGTCCTGGGTGATATAAAATCTCCATTTAACAAAATATAATGGGGAAAAAGGAGTCGGTAGAAAGGAATATATAACAAGAAAAGGATGGTGATGACCATCCAAGATGACGTGCACGCGGCCTTAAATGTTTTCAAACTCCGAACTCAAATCCATCCGCCAAATCTACTAACCGGCTCTGAGATCATACTCATCGATCCGTTCCATCCGGACGTCAAATCACTGTATGCGCGGATGACCGACCCTCACATGTGTTTCACATGTCTTTTAATAAATAAAAAATAAAAACCGAGTGGTCACCACAATGACGGGGCGGCGCTGGTGATAAGGTGGCGGGCGTATGGCAAGGCATAGATGTTCGAATCCTTGATGAATGTGCTCACTATGATTTTTCATGTTCGCTACGTTCTCCTTCATTCAGTTTATATAAAGTTGGCAAGAAAGTTCCGCGACAAAAAATTCGAAGCATTGAATATTTGCACAAACAATGAGAACACCGTAGCAAGGTTGATAAACTTTTAGAACATTTCCGTGGCAATCAAAACATGAGTATATAAGACACGAGCGTAGGTCGCCGCAGCATTACCGCTAATGAATGGACAACACCCGATTCGTACCATCACCTTGTACTTGGCGTTCCGAAGAAAAAACGCGGGTGTAGCTGCTCAAATCATTAGCAATCTATTGTACCGCACTGCTTAGCACTGCTCACCGATCAACGGTCAACAATCGGTTGGATCGCTTCACTACAAGAGACACTAGCAGCTTCGAAGAAACGCAAGCATCCTCCTTCAATTTTACGGAGGTTGAAGGGACCCATCCACTCTGAGCTGCTAAGCGCAGACTATATAACCAGAGCTCTCCTCTAACCATATGGACCTCCCTGTTGAGAGAAAGACGTCCAGAAGCATATTTTTGCTCACTATGACAGCTCGCGTTGGAATTTCGCTCTAAACACCTGCCAAAATTTCACCGGACTCTCCTCCTTCCAAGTTGTTTATCAGTCGTATACCCGGAACGTTGTACATTTTCATGACCATGTGCTCAGCCTTCTCAAGCGTCTCTTTAGGGTAAAACAACTCGTAATTTAACGTGATTTGATAACGGCAGTCAGTGGTTCCATTGAGTCACAGCTTCTTGAGTTCTAGACAAAAGGCATCAGTGATTTGCTCAAAAGATGAGAGAAGGCTGTTCGACTCTTTGATGGATATATTTTCAAAATTTGATTGAACTATAAGATTTTAGAAATGAAATTAAAACGGCTTTTATTTTGTTGCAGGACTTCTTGCCAACCTGATAAATATGTGTACATATATGTAATGTATAACAAAATATACGACCACTCATCTAGCTAGAAAGAGACTGCACCGCTGAAATTCACATATGTTAGTCCCAAATTAGTTTCTTAATATTATACAACTGTAGCCACCTGCGTTCACATTTCTCGACAAAATGATACTGGCTGGAGATGATATGTCGTATATTAACTTTAAGCAAATAATGAGAATGAAAAAGCGTTTGAGTTCTCCCAAACTCTGAAGTGCCATTTTTGCTAAATGTGTTTTATCAATAGAAAATTGTTGGGTATTGCCCCAAAATTTCACAAAAAAAANAAAAAAAACTACACATTCCAAGGCTACTCACCCCGTCTGTAAGCATGGCTCTTGGATTACACATATTTTTACGCATCCAAAAACTACTATGACTTCGATTGAATGATTTTCTCGAACTTATTGATTTATCGAAAATAAAGATTTCAATCATTAATGCATCATCTCCTGGTACCCTCTAAAAGCAAGTGAGGGGAACAGATCTGAAACATCCACACCTCCGGAAAATGCTCCACAGAAAAAAGGTAGAGAAGGGGATGCAGGCAACTTTGCAGCCAGAAGCCTAGTTTCCATAATGTGATGACCCATGAATTTTTCGCTTCCCGCAGTGGCGTCATATCTGTTTCCGATTTTTCCGATATTGAAAGTGGAGGTGAAACAATAATAACCGTCCAAAAACCTACTTCCATAACCTTCATTCCATACTACGACGAAACAAAGCTTTCTCCAGACACTTTTTTTTCAACGCAGGATATGTTCGAGTTTTTAAATATTTAAGTACACATTTGACCTCACATTATATGACACTATTTCCGATCGAGCATCAAAAGTATATCACGTCGAACTAATAGCAATAACCGCAAAAAAACAAGGGAGCATAATCGAAAAGAAAGAGCTGGAAAATTTTTCGTACCTTTTCGCCAGAAGTACAATCATTCAGTATCTCGAGGGAAGTCGTGAGTAAAGGAACTGCCGACACCAAGGTCGACTTCACGTCGATATATCTAAAAGCATTGCACTCGAATTAACGAGTTTTGCATATCAATGAGGTTCATTGAGGAGTATACATAAACAGTTTCAATTGTATATGTATGTCTGCCTACAGTCTGACATATATGAGTTGATAATTTACGAAAAAATTATTTACGAATAACAGTAGATCAACTGATGTACACATATGATAATCCAATACTGCCGAGGAACCCTTATTTGCAGTAATCTGGTGAATTTTCGCCGTCTTCGAACTTTCTGGGTACTGAACTCGTGTGAAGGATGAGAATCAGCGCGTGCATTTTCGGCACCTGATGTTTTTCTTCGACTGCAAGGGCAAGAACGCGGCTTGAGCCGGGGAATGATTCGTGACGTTTAGGTAGACAATGCTCTAGAGGATCGTACAATACGTGAGTGATTTGCGATATTCAAACCGGGTGATTTCAAACTAGAAGGTCTTCAACGCTCAGAAAGCTATCATCAGTTGAAGGTAAGGCGAAAAATGCGTCACATTCACTGTTTGGAGCGGCCTCTACAAAAAAGCCTGCATATACTCCCATGGAGTCTTTCAGTGATTTAACTAACAATAAGCCACTTATATTACCTAAATTGCTTTTCAAAATTAACAAAAAAAAACTGGCTATTTCAAGGGAATGCTGTTAAAAAAGTGAGCGAACATTAGGCTCGAACTTTACTGTTTTGAGCGTATGGCAAAACATCAAAACAATAGTATTATGAAATGTTTTGATACAAGGTTCTTCTTATAAATATGAATCGGTACCTCACTAGTTCTCCGGCAAGAAGCAGGATGTTTCCAACCAAACAGTCATCAAGGGCCTTATATTCAGACACCTGAAATCAATAAGCAATGTTTGAAAGGAAAATTCCCCTCTCAGAAAGTACTTCACTTCACTAACAATGTCAATGCACTTCGACATTGTATCGATAAATACTGATGTGTTTGAATTACTACAAAGGCGTTTTGCCACCAATCTCAGAGAAATTGCAGCATTTTGGCACAAGACGTCCTGTAATAATAAGCAATACTAACAACAATCAAAGACAGATATGCACGCCATTAGATGGTGTGCGTGCGAAATTGCAAATTGCACATCACTGTACACAAATGTTTCAGGAAATAGTAACACGATTGCACTCTAGGAACCAATTTTCAACAGACTTGCTCGGGGCTACTCCTTTTCTTTACAATCCATTTATTGAGAACAAATGCCATTCTTTCAAGATGTTGCACGCTACTTTCGCTCCCAATGGAAAAGTATTCATCGTGAACTAATTTGTAATTCGCTAGGTGAAGAGCCTGAAACAGTGAATGAGAGGGACACAATAGCTCACAAGTACGAGATATAAATGGATTATCGATAAGCTCACTTTTTCACGAATCCTCCAATCTGCTTTTTCATCCTCTAGAATGTCTGTTATAACAGTTGCAGCTATTGCTCCTGGCAATAGATGACGTAACTGAAACAGAGATCTTGAAGACCTCGTATCAATGCGGAAGCAAACGGGAACCTCCTCACAAGAAGAACAACTTAACATAACCTTCACAGGCATATTTACTGGCTTGCCTGAAGCACAATACTCTATCGAAACTTTTAAGAAAACCAAAAACAAATACCCGTTAAAATTAAAGAAACTATTTCAGGCAAGCATTTCCTAGAAAACTATTCGGCACAAAACACACTTGAGCTGACTCACTTTATCGGAAACCGTCTCAGCTCTCCCTGATAATGCAACCCAATAACGATGGGTTTGCTGCTCTTCAGTTTCTTCTGCCAAAGCTCGCTCTCCAGCTATAAACTCGTCTAGCTCGACTGAAGAAATTATCAGACGTCTTCCAACTGGAAGAAGTGCACGGTACAAATCATCGTCGTTCATTACTCCGAGCTAAAATGATTGCATTCATAAATCATTGCCTGCGTAATTGGCAAAACATGAAGGGTAAAGAGAAAGAATATACACTAAACGTCGCATTTATCATGATCGCAAATCTGGTTTAAAAAAATGGAAAAAAGCAGTGAGTTCTAAAAAAACCACCTTCTCAAATAAATTTCGATTGCTGAGTACTCTGACAACTAGCCCCATCGTCATGAAGCGGAAGTGTCGCAGTTTTGGCAAAGAATACTTGCTTCTGAAACTATTATATTTTGTGGCTTATAAATAAAACCCCTGTAGAGTACGGGGCTTCAGTACTAAATTAAGGACTGCTGAAGCTCTTTTCTTGAACATAGTCTAGACCTGAAGCTGCACTGCCGGTGGAAGCCCCAGCTTACATTAGCAGTACAGCTTCAAGTCTAGACAACATACATACTATATGAATGTGTTTTGATGTAATCAAAACAAACAACGATGATGTTCCTATGTGAATTAAGATTACGATTGTACCAACGTATTCATTATAATAGGTAAAACGAAAGACTTAAGAGTTAATGTTCAAATGCACCTCAGCATAATAGTATTTCCTTGATATACAAGTGCCATATTGAAGTGTAAAGTCATGTACTTATGAAAGCAGATAGGGAGCATGATAGCATAGAGCAAAAGAAAAAGAGTGATCCCTATTTAACTACTTTTTTGAAGCACTTTACTTCTGTACTTACACCGCTTTCGCCTTTTCTTCGTCTACCTTGAGCTACGCTAGACTTTTACTATACCTTGAAAACTAGATACACCGAAACCATCGTAAACTCTGCCTTTAGAAAATACAACTCGTTGAACAAGTTCTACTTCTGGAGCTATTTCGCTGATGTTGAGCAATGTTCACCCAAAGGTCAAGCCTCCCGTTTCAAAGCGGAACCCTCGTTCTCTAGACAGATGAACGCAGCCCGTGAACTGGTCTCAGTGTTGACGCACATCCAACTTATGCATACATATATTCCGAACAACATCTAACCAACTCCAGCCATTCCTTTTCCCATACCCAAAATTG